ATATCTTAAGGGAATGAACTCCATTTTCCGTTTAAATGTGAATTATTTTTTACCCTAAAGTTGTTCAGCATTTTGAAAATCAGAGATCAGGTGAAACATCCCATCCCCACCTGCATCACTTTTTTATCTTCCTTGATTGTTGATATAAAGCTTGCTATTTTTTTCCTTTATAAAAGCAAAGCAAAACAAAACAAAATTGGTGCATTTCTGTACTGTTGTAATTATAACAATCAACAGTCATTATTTTGAGTTTTGGCCAGCTGCTTTCAGGGGTCATGAAGGATTATTTTGCATATCCCAAACTGCCTACATGGCTGTCTACATGAACCATAAAAAAATCGTAATAACAATCTACTTTTCTGGTCCCTTTTTCTCTAGACTAGGAATTAGGACTTTGTTTTGTACCACAGCAAGTATTTTCAAGGCAGACTCTGTCCTTTCTGATGGACAGAATACTTCTGAAAACCTTCCATCTGTTAATTCCCTTTAAAGACTTAATGAAAGAAAACATTACTGACATTTCTTTTTCCAAAACATTCCTCTTCATCTTGTGTCATAACAGAAACTTTAGAATACAGATAGTTATTCTTCCCAAAGTTTTGTGTTCAGAACACTTCTGGAAAATTGAAATAATAGTAATGATAGTAATGACAATAATAATAATAGTAATAATAGCATCACTAGCTACTATTTCTGAGAAATAAACAAAATTCCTCCTTTTTTTAATTCTACAGCAAAACCCAATATGCTTTGTTCTGGTATATGGCAAGTATATACACTTTACCAGTCTCCCATTACAAAAAATAACATTAATGCATATGTTAGCATGACTGAAATAAGAACACAGATAAATATATGTAAAGTATGTCACCTAACTTGAGCTTCAAACTAGATTTCTTATTCTAGCAACAACTTTTTTTAAAACTTATTTTTTATTACTGGCCTGAGGCAAATTCAACTGAGTATATGCTTCTCAGGGGAAAAGAAGCATTTTCTGAAGAAAATGTACAACTTATCTGAGTACACTGTAAAATCTGAAGATATTTGTCCTCTGAGTCATATTAGAACAGTCCATAGAATTCCACAGTTGCTTCTCTAGCGTATGTATCACCTGAATACATGAAAGTAATACCTGCTTTGTGATTCACTTAAGATTTCTACTACCAGATTTTAGCTGCTCTTAAATTTGGCTGTGATGGTCCCGTCTCTTATTAGACAATTTCAAGCATTCTTTAGTAACTTTGATTAACATAAAGACCTTGACAGGTCCTTATGGCTCCAGATTTTCATTTCAAGCTTCATCTTTTTTGACCTTTGGAGTCTCTGTGGTCTAATTCTCCTATATCATAACGATTTATGGTTTTCTATATTAAGTATAAATGCTTTCAGTTCTAAATCTCCAGTCATCCATTTTCATGTATTGAGTGCACTTCAGCAAGACACGCGCCTTTAAAATATCATCATGTTTTTATCTCTTTGGATTATTTATATGGCTCAAAAGATTTATTATTATTATTATCATTATTATTTTATAAGATGCTAAGTTTGCAATAATTGCAGAGAACTCTCTAGTGGGTCCTGATAAAAAATATTCAAGTCTCTCAGTTGATTTCTGCTTTTAGACAGGTAAAGCCAAGGAAGAAACTGATGAGAAACAAGCAAAAAGCAGAACACAGGCAGTATCCATCTGCTGTGATACTGCAGACTAAGAGAAATACAACCAAACTAAAAGGAAGGAAAAATACTCAGTAAAAATTGTGTGGTATAAATTATTAGGTTGACACAGACAGCAGCCATGAATATGATTAAAGCTGCAAAATGAGAACAGCTAAATAGATTAGGATTGGCTATACTGCAGCCTCACAGCCTGGTCTCAGACTGGAAAACAGAAGAAGTAGGTTCTCCTATGACATAAAATCTGGTCCCCTGATACTTCTGGCAAACAAGCTGTAAGACTTCCTTTCTTAAGCCTTATAAAAACAGTTGTTGTTTTTCTCCCCTGACTTCCCATTGAAAAATGGTTCTAAAAACAAAGAATCGGCACAGTTGAAAGGGGTCCCAAGACAGCATTTAGTCCACCCTACACCTCTGATGCGTCAAAAATTTATTTTCATTTCAAGATCAAGTGAAGCCTAACATAGTTATTATCTTCATAAATTACATGCTCTCCAGTTCTCTACCCATTTTTCTTTCCCACTTTTTATGAACACAAGTCATGACTTTAGGGACTCTGAACTATGCAGCTGCAGAAGACCTGGGGCAACTCCTGCCATTCAAACATTGTGAAAGCTTCCCAGACATCGTCCTCACTGGAGGTAAGTAAGAAACCTGGAGAGTGTCCTTTTAGACTAAAGCTATCTTTCAATGGTTGAAACAGAGAACTGGGCATTTTATATCCTTGACTCTATTGTCAGTTATGCTTTTGATTCACAGTGGAAGTTTGACTCAGAACATCTTTTACTCCTCATCTGATATCCAGTAAAGAGGGTAGATTGCTACCGCTTTCATTGCAAGTTTTCCCATGATTATTTGGCTTTCCAAGTGCTCTGAGATACTCAGAACAAAAGATTTTAAAAACAAATTAAATTCAGTAAATATCTTTTATCATCTAAGTTTAACCAGTAACGATGGGAAATTAGTAGTAATAAAGCATAATAATTTCTCCTTTATTCACTATGGTAAAAATCCATAATCATAATTGTTTTGAAGGATATACACTTACAACAGTAAAAACAAAAACTTGGTTGAAGGAGAAGAACCTCTGATAAGTAAACAAGTTTTGATATTCTTGCTCCTCACTCATTGGGATTTTACGAATATAAATATTTGATCCATTCAGCAGTTACAAGAAAGCAGAAAAATACTCCAGATTGCTCTTTCCTACATTAATGAAACAAACTCTTAGAAGAAATCAAGTACTTTTTTCTTCAGGTACACTATTGACAAAGTTCAATGATGGCTGCAAAACTTTTGACTCAAGACAGGTAACTTCCAGGTTCAAATTCACTTAACAGTTTATAGAGAATTTCTATCTTAGGTTGGTTTCCATTGGTGACTAAATATTACCAAGACAACTATGTACTCCAAAGCTAAGTGCTTTCTTGAAACCAGCGATAATTTTCTAATTAATAAAAAAAAACCAAAAACGCTTCAATAGCTGAACTAGTAACATCTGTGACACAGCAGAGACAATGTGCTAAGATCGGTAATAAATTACAAAACCCACTAACATTAATCTCAAAATAGTTATAAATAAGAAATTTTTACACTAAAGGTTTTCCTACTTGCCTCATGAAGCTTCCCGAGAATATTAGAGCTACATATTTTCCATTTTAGATCTTCATTTTGGAAGATACTATGCAAAATAACCACTGCTTTCTTTCATAAACATTAGTATGGAATAAAGAGGGATGAATGAGACAGAGAGCCTTCAGTTCTGCTCTTTTCTATGCTAGTCAGGAAAGTTTAACAATAGATCTAGACTACAGGCCTGCTTTTTTGTGTGTGTACCATCAGAGGGAGGCAAATATTTTGTAAAACTTGGAATAATTCTAAATTATTAGGTTACTTTTTAAAGTTCAACTGAAAGACAAGAAAAAGCCTGTTGTATGTTTTCAATCTACTGAAAATGCAATTCCACCACCAGGATAAATGTTAAAAAGATAATAAATCCTAGGAAAATGCACAAAAACTTAAAATTAGAAAAAGGTAAAAAATGATCCTTTCTTCAGTATTGAATTACTGCCAGTCTAACAAATGGACCACAGATGATGACAAACTTAAGAATTAAGCTTACCCTCTGAAGTGAAGGCATGTAAAAATTGGTTTAATATGTGACAAAGAATGTATTTTTCTTCTACCTCTTTAATATTCTGGAATAAAATTAAGTACATGGTTCTTAGTGTTCAACATAAGGTCTGGTCATTAAGCGCAACATGGCTAAAGCTGAACTCTTATTTTTCATTTTATTTGCTCATTCTTGGTCACTGGGGAGATTAACACCACCATCTGTCATTCACCAGCAGAATCTGTCTTCTGCAGTTATGGCCACTTCGAATTTTCACCCAGATTATGCTTTCTACATAGTGACTCCTTCAGTGACAATTCACCGCTACAATTCAAATTGTCCTGAAGCATCACTCCAAGGTTCATCTTCTGATATTCACCTACACTTGCTAAGAATTTGCTTCAGCTTCTCATTGTCCTGAAACAATATTATTTCCTCTGGCTTTGACAGTGTTAACCATTCAGGAATACTCACACCGAGGTTATCTTCCCAGTGTCATCCTGCTCTCTACATGTCTCTGCTACATTTCTCTGCTGCACCCATATACTACTATGCATCACCTCATTCACCTTCAAGAAAGCAATGTCACATTTTGATGTTCCCATCACATGAAAAATATCACCTATATTTGTTCAGATATAAGAAAAAGCCCCTATATGTTTCTCTTCATAAACTGGGTAACCATAAAGCACTTCCATTCATTCAAGATCATCCCACTGTACCTTCAAAGTCTGACAGCTGCTAGGCTGCTGCTGTGCCCAGAACACTATAGCTATTCAAGCTTACTTCAGCAGTTCCTGGTGATTCCATGTATTCACTTATTGGCTTCTTATGTATTTAGATTTTAAACTTATCTTTTTCTGGGCTGTACAGGACCTGATACACTGGAGTCCTGGGCTCATAGCAAGAATTCCTATGTAATCTCATGATAAAAATAAAAAACACCGCAAACCCACCAAGGACACAGATGCAGACAACCTTGCCTCAAGAAGCTCATAGTCTAGATGATATTCTGAAAAAGCTGAATTACATGTATTTCAGACAGATAAACTGTGTGAATTTCAGCACACACAGGCAATGCAGTGATAAACACACTCTGGTGACTCAGATTAGGGATAGAACATACAGACACACACAGGTGTCCCCACACATAAGGACATCTGTGGCAAATTGCCATAGATATTTGCTGAAGGGAAAGCTGAGAATTGCTTACCACACTGCAGCCAGGACAGTCAGGACCATTTTCACAAGTCCTACGCCGTGCCTGGATCCCTCCTCCACACTGTGCAGTGCAGCGTTCCCATGGACCCCAGCCTGTCCAAAACACATGAGGGGGGCACAACAAATGCTCATTGCAGTACCTGTGAGAAGAGGCAAACAAGGAGGGAAAGAATCTGTTTAGTAACAAGACACCTCCTCCCCAGAAGTCCCTCATACGCATTATCCAGATAGATATCTGAACAGGGAATCATATTATACAAAGGGCCCTTCTCTATTCATAAAGCACTGAACTAACTGTTGTAACACTGCACAGAGTGTTTAAACATTTGAGGTTTATTTTTCAGACTGTAACTGCGTGGGTGAAGCATTTGTTTGCTTTATTCAGTGCCCTTATACAAACCATGTGATACAGCCATGCTATTGTACCATAAGCACATAAGGAAGGTAGACCGCTGCTTTATTAAAAACAGTTGTGGCTATACATCTGGAGAAGAAGTGAGTCAACCAAACGGAAGACAATCATTTATGCAGTCAGTCTTTTATCAGTCTCCAGCAAAGCACTGATTAGGATCCATCTCTCATCTCTTTAGAGAGCTAAACTTGCTTTTTTGCTTTCCACAGTGTCTCCAATTTTATGGGTAAAATAAAAGCTAAACATTGATTCTAGGCATAAAGATCTGTACTGTTCTCCTAATGTTGTCACTTTATCTTTTAAAGGGTGTTTTAGCTATTATAAATTTTGAAGGATTTCCCAGTGGGTTGCAAACTAATTCAGAGGCCTATTAGGATCTTGAGGAAAGCAGAAATATTTTACTACTGAGCTGTCATTATTGTAACAAGACATTCAGATATGTAGGAAGTTCCTAACTTCTAGTGAGTTTTTTCATTTTTCATAAAAAGCTAAGATTCCTTATTTTTTGAGCATGCCATCCAATAACTTTAGCCATAGAGTTATGCTGCTTAGTAAGGAGTCTCTATACAGGTCCAAAGGATTTGGGTCACCAGCAAGTGTGACTGGGGCTTTTAAAAAGACCGTGCTGTTATTTCAGAAAAAGTTATGACAGATATTCAGAAAACAGATGACCCATAAGGAGTGCTTTAATATTTACGGATGTGGCTGGGTGACTCTTGTTCCAAATACTGACTGTCCTGAACAAAACAAATCAATGTTACAATATTTCCTCATTTTTTACACCTGTCATCCAACATCCACTGTCTTCTTGCCCTTGTAACAAGTTTCCATCACTTTGCACTCTCCTGCAACGAAAATTGACTTCAGTAGCTCATTTTCCACAAAAAGAGAAATGAGTATAAACTGTTGCAATTTTCAACAAGAATTACCATAACCACATTTTTTTTACAGAAAGTCTCAAGATCCTCAAGCTCTGATTTTTTATTACTAAGGAATGTGCACATTCAGAATGTTGTGGGGAAAAAAAAATGTTTGTGTATGTTATATACAACAGTAGGTTTATCACATATGCTGCTACCTATGATACAGAATTTTTCCCTGGGTCTGAGCAACTCCATTAAAATTTAAAAGGTTGACAGTGAGGTAAGTAGGGGAGTGAAATTTAGTTTTGTGTTTCTGTATATTTAGGAAACTACTAACAGCTTGTATTGACCTCATCTGCTGTTTACTAATAAACTGCAGAAAAACACCCAACCAAACCCTCAATATTTATGAATCTGCAATGTCAGGATTATTCAGTGTATGATTTGGGTAAATGTTTTTCAATAGTAGCTTCTACATAAACTACCTTTTTTCCTCCTGCATGTTCAATACTTGCAATTCACAGTTCGCATTATGCTATCAGTAAAAATGCAGAGGAATGTTCTGTGCCTGGATAGTCTTCCCCCAAAACTCAAACAGCTGCACACATTCCTTGTCACATGCAATCATTTCTGTGAATGTCCATGATAGCTTATCTCCATGATAATTTGTTGAGAATGTGTACCCAACGAAACATAGATGTAACAGCACTATTTTAGTCCAATTAGTACGTATTTTGTATAATTTAATTTGTTCTTAATGGAGATGCACTAAGTTAGTTTGAGACACACACACAGGATAAAACAAGTCTACCATGAAGTTGACAATTATCAATATTCAGCCATGCAAAAAGTAAAATTAAGAGTGGGACCCATCTCACCTTAAAATATTGGCATGTACAATGTAGCTGTCTATAAATGAAATAGTCGTCCACACTGGAGTAACAGTTCATGGAAAGAAACAACCATTTTAAACAGCATGGTTTACATCACCCTAAAGGGAATGTCTAATGTAGGTCATGCAAATACAGCCCTTAACATACTGCCTTCTCTCCACTGACTATAAAGGCTGCGTGGGAGATAGACATGTGAGCTCCCATTAACTCAATGGAAATTTTATCAACACAAGTTATGGAGACAAGAGCAATTAATTTGATCAAATTAAGAAATGTACAGTAGGAGGATAAAAATGAATGTGCTCTCCACAGCCTGTATTGACTAGATTTCTACAGATCGTAGCGGAAGTTCAGTCACCTGACTCACACATAAGGACTCACATTCATGAGCACCTGAAGTTAGGTGTGACAAATCTCACTTAGATGAGATTCATGACACGATACAGTATCTCTTTTAGTGTCAATGTGCCCTGTCATCTGTTCACTCACTTAAGTGCAAGACAGAAAAGAAACCTAACAACTGACTCAGTAAGCACTTCAAAGGCTGGCAAATTCTGTTAAACTTCACTATTTAAAATGCAGTTGAAACCACATGTTGAAACTCAAAAAAACCCTTAAAATGTCTCTGCAATTTAGGAAAAAAGTTTTAAAAATCAACAGAAGTGACTGGCCGATTTTCTTTTTTTTTTTTTTTCAGTAAAAGCGAGAAAAACCCACAACACAGAATACAAGTAGAATCTTATTCTTATTTCAGCCAGCCAGCCTCTGAAAACACCAGGTATGTTTTCACAGCTAGAGACATCCCTGCAATTGATCTTTGAGAGCTGTACTACAGCACAGGGCTTGGAGCCAAGTTTCATTATATCTTTTCTTGGCTGCATTTCAAGTCACTCAGTAACCCTTTTTCCCTTTTGCTCTTTCGTTCCCTCTTAATTTTGTTCTCAGGACCCACAGGGCTAACATTTTACAGTAATTCAACAAAGCACGCAATACAAGAAACTTGAATCTGTGAAACCACTGCCCTCTCCCCTAATTTAACTGCAATGAGGTCAGAAGGAAGAACAGCCTAGAGAAATGTGGGTTTTGTACAGTGACCCTTCCTGTTTCCCCTTGCAGGAATCCAAGTTCAAATGCCCTAAATAAAGGAATTGCCATACTGGGGGAAGGGAGAATATTCTCTGTCTGTTTGTGTCCACAATCACTGGTTCCTACAGAAATTTTTAAATTTTTACTCCAGGCAATTCCAGTTCAACTGGAATTATTATTCTTGTTCCTATGAAGATCTCACCCTTTAGTAAAACATCAATTTATTTCAGTGTTGCCATGCAGCACTGAGTACCACAGGCTAACTGGATGACAGCCACCAATGCATCTTTTTTATTCCACAGAGATATGCTATTTAATTTCAACACATAGTTCTTAATTTTGAACTATATTATACAGCATGTGTTTAAGAAAAACAAACTAAACTTTATCACTGTCAGCCCATTCCTATAGCAATATACCATTACATGGTGGGTACTCGTGATTACCAGCTGGTGACTAACTGGAAGCACAGACTATACTGAGGTTGATGGGAATGCTGGAGTACTTTAATTGAAGGCAGACACATGATGCACACACATGCCTTACTGGATGAAGATTGCTGAATCAACAGAAATCCCCACCCAGGAGACTGTAGAAAGGGGCAGGGGCCAGGGCATGTGCTCCCAGGGGCTTCTGTGGGAGAAAAGGAGGTAGCAGAAAAAGCAAGGAGGATGGGAGCACACACGTCTTGGCAGACAGGACAGCTATGGGAGCTTGAGCAAGCCCAAAGCCTTGTGGTATTTGAACTGCTCTGCTGAAGGGGACCAGGCTTGTTCACATTGCTTGGAAACAAGCAGTGCTGCACAGAGTAGGCACTTGACTCTCAGCAGGCCCTCCTTCTCATGGAAACAAGCCCAAAATGCTCTGAATACCTGCTGAGGATGTGTACAAAAAAAAAAGGTGACAATACGTACTGCTTCTAATCTTCTTATAAACTTAAACATTTCCAGAGCTTTCAAACGTCTACTCCTCATTTCAGCCAATTTATTTTTCTGCTTCTGATTTGCCGTGCTGTTTTGCTTTCTTGTTTTTTCCTATGTAATCAAAGATAGCTACATTCACTAAAAGCAAGGGATTCTCATTCTAATGTCCCTCATTTCTGCAGATAGCAGGGAGACCAGTGGACTTACTGAGCCCATACCCACAGCATCTTCCACAGAAGGGAAACGACAAAAATTATCACTTTGCAAAAGTTAAGACAGGATATTATAGATTCTATAAACTAAACCCTAGAGAGTTTTCCAGAAGCTTCAGTGAATATCTTTCATACAGGAAAAAATGGAAATTTTTAAGCCCCTAAGGAATTTATCAGGATGTCTTCCATCTAGAGTCTTGAACTACAAAATTATTTTATCCGATTAGCAAATTTTGTTAAAATACTATTTTTACTCCCACTCCATATTCTGTCTAAAGGCACATCAGATGCACTTTTGACCTATATCTACAAGGGGAATTGGCTTTGTAATATGAGTCTTTGCTGCTCTCTCTCAACTATTTTCCAGCCCCCTCCTAGACCCCTTTAGCAGCAGAGCATGCAACAGCTTAACCTATCTGCAACACTTTGAATTGGTAAATATTGCCATTGATTTCAAGGGAATAAGCAGCAAGCACAGAGCTGCCCGATACATTAGCCGTGACAGGATCATGGCTTTCATGAAGAAAAACAAACATAGCCTATACAAACATCAAGCTCTTAATGCATGAACAAATACTCTCAAACTGAATATACATTCACATCTGGGGATGAATTTACCTAAGCTATATGCTGCCCTTTCTGTGTTTGCTTTCTATGAAGTTACGCACTGGACTTCTACTGAAATCACTGTTTGTTGAAAAGCTGTTTCATAGTTTGGCACAATGTTGGCTGTGGAAGCTGAATCCTGTATTTAGGCCCCTGAACACATGAAGGTGACATGAATATGCACTTTTAAAAAGAGAAATGCACACAATGTGTAAAACAACTAATTCTAATTTTTAGTAAGACTACATATACATTCATTTTACATGTGAACTGGGTCATTAAGAAAGTAAAATGGTAGGCTATTTATAAGCATTGATTAATTTCAATGAAAAAAATCTGAGAAGCTGCTTATTGGTACTCTGGATATAAACCCAAGGTAAACGTTTCTTAGGAGTTACTGCTTGTGGAATATTTGCTTAGCCTGCCTAAATGTACTGGGCTCAGTTCTCAAATGTACTGTTTCCATTTGGTGCAGATGTAACTCCAGCAGTTCTGGAGTGGAGTAGTGGATTAAGACTACTGTAAATACTGGTACTCCACTGCCCTCACCGCTTGAAGCTCTCTACAAGCTGTCAGAACCCTGAGGAATTTCATAAAGCCCTAATGACCCCAATCAGCCTCACCTGGGACATCTACCCACACCTATGGGCCTAGAAGCATTATTGAAGCTCTGCCAGGGACCTTCAACCCCTGCCTGAGCTGTGCTGTTGGAGAAGTGCTGGACCTCATCCCTGGCCCAACATGGAACCCCTTGGTCTAGACCTCAACATGTGGACTGGCTTCTTGCCTTGGCCCTGTTGCTATAGACCTGCCCAGTGACCACTGAATCTGATCCTAACCCTGGCCTGTGGCTTGGCATCTCAGCTGGACCTCAGTCCTACCTCATCGCTGTGATATCATCTATGATACACAGTCCCCAGGCTTGCCCTGCTCCCCTGCTGGGGGTGGTGGGATGGGCCCTGGCTGGTGGGTTTCCCAGGACTCTCTGCTTTTTACAGCTCTGAAAAGATTTATCTAAGAACTTGGCCTGACACTGACAAGAATCCTAGCAAATAACTGATGCCTTATTTCTCTAGCTGCTTTACAAATGATATGACAAAACTTCCTAATATACCACACCTTCTGGAAATAAATTTTACAAATACTTTTAGAAAACAAAATTAAAAGTATCAGCACATATCATGGATAACTTAAACAAAATAAAGGTAAATGCAGGAAGGTCAGCTGTGAGCAAGCTAGAGAGTGAGAGGAAGGTGCAGGGCTGGTGAGAGTGAAGGGTGTTCCAAGGAGATAACAAATAACAAGAGGAACTGTGAGAGAAAAAGGCATCCTGCAGTAAACTCACAGAGACGGACATCCCAGATTGCTGCTGAACTGGATGAAGAGTGAAAGAACAAGTAACCTGCAAGCTACAAAAACAAAGCAATATAAGCCTGCTGTTCCTACAGAACTGTTACATACCAAAATTCAGTCCTTCTAGGCTGCTATTATTTCAACCCATTGTGAGTATCACATTCTATTTTGTAACCGCTTTTTTAGTGCAGCCATTGTCTTAATACTCAACATTTTATTCCATAATTACGGAAGTATTTCTCACAGTTTTCTGTATTTCTCTGAAACTCCTTATTGGATTTTTATTCCATGCTAAACTTAGGTGAACAATGACTACTAAAATTCATAGTCCATCACCAGAAGGTCTATCCAAATTAAACTCTTTTCTTCTACATTCCTTTTCTTCTATATTCAGTCATATTGTGTCCTGCCCTGAACTGGCCTCTCAGTTCAAGAAAATCAATAACTGTTATTCATGCTGAGACAGATCTATGTAGGAGCAGATACAGATTTGATGGTGATGGCATTTTGGTTGGGCAACCTATTTTCAGAAAGCCATTTACAAAATACAAAATGCTCTCCTCTGTAACGAAATGGTGAATACTCATGGCTCTGAAACAGCAAAAAGTGTTCACATGTTCTGTGATGCTGATCTTTTACATTTAGAGTTAGAAAGACCAGGTCCCTAATGATCTGTTATTACATAAATGTGTGTGGAATCTCTTCATCTGAAGAAATGCCAGAGTTTATGTTTAATTAAATTCCTCATTGAAAATCATTCTAAAGGTTAATGAATCTTGCTTTCATCCAACAGCCATATAGGATGCTAAATCACCCATACAGAAACACTGAAGTGAGCTGCAAGTGCATATTGAGAGGAAACAGATCGACATACATCTCTTGGAATGGATGACTAAGTTACTCCAAATTCCTACACCAACATCAGTCTTCTGCTACCTAGCTTTTTGGCATGCCTTGGAAAACAACATAATACATCTAAAAGTTGCAGTTTATCTGAATATATTCGAGTTCGATTAAAAGAAGAATTTAATTCCTGCTAAAATTCCTAACACATAAATTACAGTCTAGAGGCATTAGAGTGCATGCAAAATGGAATCAGAGACCTGAACTTTACGTTCTGGGCTAGTGACAAAATACCAGTGCCAAAGCAGTAGATGGTGAAATAAAAATCTGAGTTGACTTAACTGCTCAGGGGTTAATAGATACATAAAAAATTGAAAAAAAAACCCAACCCTGAAACCTTACTAAAAGATATTTGAGTTCAAGGTGAATTATATTTATTGAATATAAAGCAAAGCCCTTGAAACTTCCTTTCATGTTATATAATTGCTTAATTCATTTAAGACAGAAAAAAAATGAACTCACAGCATCAGTAACATAATGCTGTGACCTTACTATATTTTGCTCTGAATTCCAGGTCTTCAGGCTGGGTGAGTGACAATTCAAACACACTGCAATCAATTTTCAAGGAGAATCAATTTTCAGGGTCTCAAGGGACAGCAGCACATTGCTTCAGCACAATTCTCTGGCACTACCAGGAGCTCTCAGCTGGCTCAGGAGGGATGCAGCTAAGTGAAAGATGAAAGAACCACTGCAGACCCACAGCCTCGCTAATGGGAATACTGCTACTGTGCAGCAGTGGAGTTAAAGAGAGAGTGAAAGGAAAGGGAAGGGAAAAACAAGGCAGGTAAAGGAGAAAATGCCCTGCGGAATAGAGCTGAGCAGAAGAAATTAAAAAGGATAGCTCACCTCTCCTCACGATTCTGTCCCACACAGACACGTCCTCCATGTCGAGGGGTTGGATTGCTGCAGGAACGCTGACGAACTTGAAAGCCTATTCCACAAGTGGTACTACAAGGTGACCAAGAAGTCCATGGTGTCCAGCCTCCATTTCTGGTAGAATAAAAAGCTCAGGCTCTGTCATCTGTTATACATAGCGAATGGCTGATTAGGTGTGACTGACAGCAGAATCTGGCCCATTCATATTTCTGTAGAAGTCATCAATACTGCAGTGTGTTCCATTTCTTAAAGAATACTGAACTAAAATTAAGGTGCTCTGATCCTTCCATATTCCATGCTTTGTTATCAGCAACTGCTAAAATGACTTCATTACACAAGAAGTATAAAGAAATGAAGCTGTTTAGTTGCTTTCAGACACTTTACTCTGGGTAAACTTCATCTGCAAACTCTTCACAGAATCACAGAATCGCTCGGTTGGAAAAGACCTCCGAGATCATCACCTGTCTACCCCCTAAACCATATTGCTAAGTACCTCGTCTACCCACTCTTTAAATACATCCAGGGATGGTGACTCCACCACCTCCCTGGGCAGCCTGTTCCAGCCTCTGACAACCCTCTCAGTAAAGAACTTCCTCCTTATCTCTAACCTGAACCTCCCTTGGCACAGCTTGGTGCCGTTTCCCCTTGTTCTGTCCTCCATCACCTGGGAGAAAAGACCAGCACCCACCTCTCTACAACCTCCCTTTAGGTAGTTGTAGGTGGTGATGAGGTCTCCCCTCAGTCTTCTCTTCTCCAGGCTAAACAACCCCAGTTCCCTCAGCCGCTCCTCATAAGGCTTGTTCTCCAGACCCCTCTTGTATCAAAGTTCTCAAGAAAACATAATTGCATATTGCTCCTATTATTATTTTTGGGTCTTTTTTTTCTGGGAGATTAAAAAGTCATGTTTTGATCTTCTGAAAGTGATTAAAAGAAAAAATATAATAAGTAAGTGTCAAAATGCATTAGTTCATAATTCCAACAGGATCCTCTGACAAGTCACCAATACTTTATTTGTAATGTTACAAAAAAGTTAACAGAATTCACATGCTGAACCTTGCATTTGTGAACTTCTGGAAAGGACACTCCTGTCCCTCCCCAGTAAACCCTAGGAAAAAATATTCTAGACCAAACATCTCAAAAGAAATTTCATACCCTGTCCTAAACAAAAAATTATGCACCTTAGCAGTTTCCAAAACCTTTTGATGGCTAGCTTGCAATTTCTGTATTGGTAGAAGACAAACAGAAATCAATAATAATAAACTAATGAGTTCCTGAGATTTCATCATAAAAGCAAAAGTTAACATAGTGCCTTACTTGATTTTGAAATAACTTTTTTTAATAAAGAAAACTAAATAAATCTAGTAATAAAAATTACATAAGATTATTCAAGTAATTTACCACAAATGTTACCAATTCAAATTTCACTTATCTTGATGTCTTGTTATTATAAGGGACATAAGAGTTGATAACACAGAAAAAGAGCTTTTGAAAAAAAAAATCAGGTATTACTGGTAACACAGACAAAAACATAAGATCTCTGTCAATGCAGTGTCTGAACCAAGTGGTAAAATTAACAAAATATCTGGATATCCATGAATTCTGGGAATCAATTACTATATAGCGGTGTTAACAGAAGTAAGATGTTAAAATAGAAGTGTCATGCTGCCAATTGCAGTACGTGAATCAATCATGTTCCAAGTTCCCTTCTAAACCTGACAGCCAATAACTGTTCGATTGTTCAGTAGCTCAGAGCATGCATATCTTTCCTGCCATTCTCCTGATCTGATGTTATATACTATATTGTTATGTTTTTAATAATTTCCCTAAAATTGACTATTTCCACTTACAGAGCTCAGTTATTTTGTGCAGAAGGAAAATCAGTTTTATTCACTATCATGATGTGCTTCAGATGTTTTAAAAAAACCAAAATAAGCAGAGACAAAAAGCAGAAAGAATCACTGAAAATAATCAGAATGCACTAGTATGTAAGTTTCATCTTGCAATTATACTATGTATAATGTTTTAAACATGAACTCCTGATGGAGTTCAGAATATGCGGTGTTCTGAGCCTCTGAAATGATCTCTCACTGTTTTTTCTGAGAGCAGTTACACGCCTGAGGAAGACCAAAGAATGTCTAGAGTGGCACAGAGACTGACAATAGATCTAGATGTCATGATGCAACCAGAAGATACAATGAAAACATTTTTCCCAGGGCAGAATGGGGGAATACAATGGTGATGTGAGACCTCCAAAAAAGTAAACAGATCTGACTTCCAGAAAAAAAGCTTTATGACTTACAGAACTGAGAAGTATCATACTTTGGATACAACCAAACATTGAATATTTTATCTCTGAGGTTTTGTTGAAATTAGCTGAGGATAATGTTACTTTGTTACACAGCATTTGAAATCACTATTTGCCATCTGGTTGATTCTCTCTCCCACAAAACCTGAGAGATACTTTCTAATGTCTCATTTGCTGTGGCAAATGCTATGAGCTGTTTTATGCACAAAACAGGACCAGTGGATTGCAGATGAGCTTTCAAAGGGTAGGTTCTATTCTGATTAAGTTTAAAACTTTTATAAACGATAGGACTAGAAATTGTTTTGTGTACCTGGAACAGTTGGCAATCTCCATGGTTGGTCCTTCACACAGCCAACCTCCGCACTGGGGAGCAGGACTGTCACACACACGTGTCCTGCAGAGGCAGGAGCCAACACTGGCACCGTCGGTGTGGGTGCAAGGTTTCCACTGAGACCATGTTCCAAAATGCCCATCCACTGTCAGATTCCTCATCTAGAAATGAGCACAACAGAAGGGCTTACCTGAGGCCTGACAGCTCCTTCATACAACCTCTTAAGGCTGTAGTACATGGAGGTACAGCCTTCAGCCACCAACAACAAAAGTATCCACTGAAGAGGTAGATCTTCCACACACCAAGCTCCCCTTAAAATTTCTGTAGCTGCATGATTCCCACAACCTCCAACCAATCTGGGCCACTGGATGCCACCACTATAGCAATAACATTAATCACAACTAACTGTCACCCTTTGCAACCATGCTTGCTTACGGTGATTGAGTAAAATCTATAGTTTCACTTTCTTGATTATCTTCTAATGACACTCTTCTTATTTCCAAAAATTTACCTGTGATTAGGAACCTGGATACTGACTGTAAAACAACACGTGCAAGAATGCTTGTGGAAATAATAGTCCAGGGTAAACAAAACTGGATGAAACAACCTCAAATCTCCATGAGTGTCTTTTTTTTGACAACAGTTTTTTGAAGCACATATCATACAGCACCATTTCATAAACATGAAATGTGGTTTCAAATAAACATTAGATGCAATTACAAGTATAAATCCTAAAAACGTGTTCAAAAAGCAGCACTAACCCCACGTGATGAGACAGTTTGCTCCAGCTGAAGTCAATTCTCGACACCTGTTTCTGCATTGGAAGGGTCAGACCATTCTCAACTTGACTGGAATGTTTCCATCATGCAGCCATAACACATGTTAATAAGAAATCTTTACCATCCAGCTGAAACAAAATGTTCTAATAGAAATTGCAGCAGTGGCCATGGTTATGGGAACTTCTAAAGAAAATGTGACTGGACATGGGGAATTCAATTCTCTTAACAAAGACAGGCTTTCATATTATATCTTTCAGGAAGGTGTTAATTTTGACAGATCTGTGATCATAAATGGAAATTATGGCCACTTTTTCACGTAAATGGTAAAGGACTTGCCTTTTTATTGTCACATTTTAACTTTCAGTCATAACAACGCTACTAACTAGTGTAGTCTAAATAGCGTTAAAGTTACTCTTAGATTAAAATGTGGCCATGCATATTTTATCAAATTCGTAAGAATGTAACACTTTAACAGTTGCTTACATGTTGAAATAGGAACTACAGTTGTAGATTGTAATGAATTATCTGAAATGGTGTCTCCCCTTGCTATTTTTAGTATTGTTTCATTATAGCAGTGGTGAGTGAAGCATACATTTCATTAATAATTTGAAGATACAAGAGATTTAATTACAGCACAGGACATGTTTCCACTGCCACACTGGGTGCTGGCTGATTCCTTCCACTGTGGTAAAGGTTCCATAACATTAATATTAATTACATTTCTCATTATTTATTTTTCACCAATTTTTATTTATTTTTTTAACGATAGCTTTTCCACAGAACAGCTATGTGTATATTCTGCCAGTCACAACTGACATAACCATAATTCATATTTCCAAAATTCTGCTGACAGCTGTTTATTGAAAATAATTTATCAACCTTTGCTCATACAGAGTGTACTGTTGTTTTTCTTAAGACAACAGGAAATATTTGCTTCTTGTTAAAAATGACAAGTAAACCCATTCTCTTTTACACTGCTGGTCTAACAAAGACATAGTTCATAAACTAGTAATGATATGTCTCCAATTCAATTACTGTCAGAGATGTGAAAATACTACTTTCTATTTCTATGCTACAACAAAACATCTTTATTGTTGCACCTGCAATTATAAACTAAGGCTACAGTTGTCTATGGTTGCAATAATTTATATCAAATGGCAGTGAAAGTATTTGTCAAACTTAGCTAAAAGCTTGACCTCAGAAGCACATACTGATGGCAGGTTTCTTTTTCTTGATTCTTTCCCCTTACTCCTGTAAAGATCATCCCACTGCAATCTCTGCTGTTTGCCATGACTCACCTGCTCTGTCTTGCTATGAATACTTCTCTTTCACAAGTGATATCAAACAATTTCATCACAGAACTACAGAAAAGCAAAATGTACTGATGAGGGGCCTTTTTACCCCTCACAAGAACCTGTGCGCATTAGCTTATCACCACCTGACATGCCTCAAAGGGGAAATCACAATCAATCAGACAACATGGACTAGATGATCTTTAAGGTCCCTTCTAACCCAAACCTTTCTACCATTCTAACATGTCTGCCCTTTCCTGGCAAGGCTACACTTTGCTTTCTCTCTGTCACCCTGGTTTTGTCACCCTGTCCCTTCTTCCTTACTAATGTCTTCCAATCACCTTTGTCTTGAGCTTCTCTGCTCCCACCTTATCTTCCTGGTTTGTGCCTCTGCACTCTGAGTCAAGGTCACATCTTCAGTGACCTAACCCTTAAATCTGTCATGACCATTTTGGGTTGAGATTACTTTGTGTAAAATTCCATAGCTCTGGAGTATTTCCTGAAGCTGCTAATGAATTCAGGTAAGATCACATACTGTACTCTTTC